CCAGATAATATGTTATAAGACTCACTATTTGTAGGTTTTTTGGCCACGTATCTATATACCTCATGGTCGAAATGATTAATTAGACAATTTATTGGCATCGGAATAACCTACTCTCAAGGAATTTTGAGACACCTTAGTCATATAGTATAAGGCTGACACCTTATACAAACTTTTTTTCTTTAATATTAATGCTTTCATTTGGGACTTATTTGGTCCATTTATGATTGAATATAACTCGTTCCGAGAATCAGGACTCATTGTAGTTTCCAACATCAATTTAATGATTCTAAATCTTTTAAGTATTAGTTCTAGGCATCCATATATGTTTTTTTTTGTACTTTCACCTTCACATTTTTGGCATACTGAATAAGACGAGGGAACGTCAATTGCCCTTTAGGGGCATGTGGATTTTAATGTTTCTCTTTTTACTTTTCATTATGCAACCCTTCTTTTTTTAAATGGTTGTGGTTTGCATAAGGTTGTAACCTTAAATAATCAAATTGAGAATATAATTTTGGTGCGTAAAATTCTTAGGATTGTTTGAGATTTTATTTTGATATTTAATGATAAAATTTTAAAACTCAAAAAATAATTTAAATTAAGTAGATCTATAGACAAATAAAAATATTGAAAATGAACGGTTCAATAATGTGTTACAAGATACACTATTTTTGGGATTCAAAATCTTTTTTCATGTTCATAGTCGTACATCTCGATCTTGATATTATCAATTAGAGGGTTTTCTAATATCAAAGCAAACTTTTATAATGGATTTTTGAGGTGCACCTTAATTCTACATTTTAAGGTTGCAATATAGACATTTAAAAAAACAAAAACAAATTCTCTAAAATAAGTCAGGCTTGTATTTGTGCTCTCTTATTGTTTTTCTCCGTCTGTCCCTCATGCGTTTGATCTCAAACTTTTTATTGATTATGAGGTAAAAAAAAATTTGTGGCAGTTATGTGTGTCTTTTTTAAAACGGATAATGTTTGTATAAGGTGCCCCACCATATAATAGGCAAGTAAGGTACTTTCTAAATTTTATTGGAAGATGTAGTTTTGGTGTTAGAAACTACATGATGGCTGGAAAATCCATGTTTCAATCTTAATTATTAAATTTAAAATTTTAAAGGTATTGCAAATTAACTAGACTTATAAACCCTTCGAAATTTTGAAAATACGCCATCCAAATAACTTATTTACAAAATATGTTATTTTTAAGATTTGAAACTCTTTCTTCTTTGTATTCATACATTTTGATGTTGAGATGATTAATCGAAAAGTTTTCCAACTTCAAAACGCTCTTTTCTATTTTTTAGATCCACCTTATTTCTACGATATAAAGTTGCAACTTTATATAAAGCTTTTGCCTTTAAAAAATAGTGTGATCGATCCCACTAATTTCAACTGGACCAATTCCTTTTTCGGATCGATGCCCAAATTGTAGTAACAAAATGAAATGAACATGTACATAGATATATAAAATATGTCAAATGCATAATCCATGATTATGGGTGATGAGCTATTGCCCAGATGCTTAATTTTGTTGGACGCAGTTAGCATGCGGCCAAGCCCGCACATGTAGAAATACGGGTCCTTTAATAAATTTATTTTTTAAATAGAATTCGATCCTAAGTTTTAGAGAATGTATAATCTTTAACATGGAGATCATGAATATGAAAAAATAAATAAAATTTGAAAACTATAAATAATACTTCTATGAAGAAGACATTTGGACCGTTAGTTTCAAATGTTTATAGATAGACCACCTATTTGCATCCATCTTTAAGATGGGTCATTTATACTTTTGGACTACATATTGTAAAATGAGGTCCAGCTCGCATGAAACAACCGTTCAATTTTGTTCCGAAAACATTTACTCAAACTCTATGGCTAAGTATGGACAAATGATATTGGATATGAGTGTCAGGATTTTATATACGTACAAGTTGGAGTCTCCCAACTTGTACAAATGAAAGATTAGATGCTATGTATATGACCAATGTTAAGAAATTTGCCTCGACCAGGGACTTCAGACAGGACGAAATTTGTTTCTATTTTGTATTATAATGTAACAAAAATGTGAATCTATCTCTCACTCTCTCTCGGTTTTTCATTTTGGTGAACTCCAAATGGGTATTTGGTTCACTTTGATCGTGGAAATCATCACAATCAAAACCCAATGATATTGTTTTCAGTACTTTAGTTGTTCTAAAATTATGTGAGACTTGTAGAAAAATATTGCAGCAATATCAAGACTCACATTGATACAAAATCAAGTCAATTGGTGTTGATTTTCTCTATATATTTTTTGATTAAATTTTCAGTGGAAAAATAGCGTCAATAGATGTGATAATGTTTGTGATAAAATTCAACGATGATAAATTATTTTTTATTGTTTTGTCATCGAGCAAACTCATATTAATGTTTTTTTTTATGAGTTTTATTGTCATCAAGCAAGCGTGATTTGATCCCAATCAGAGCAATCACAAAGAGCATGAGAAGCTCAAGATCTTGCTTTTGATATGGCATCAACACTGGGAAATTCAATGGAATCCAAACTTCATCTTCTTGGTCCAGTTCTTCTATTTATTCTAATTCTTTGTAATCAGATGAGAACCAACACCATCAAGAGCCATATTCTATCTCCAGCAAAATAATGAGAAAAAGAAGTAAAAAAAATAACAAAAATGGGCCATAATGGAGTACAAATATTTGTTTCCTATCACAGTTCAAAGCTCGAAGCCGATGCTTTCAAGGCAGAGCTCAATGGATTCAAGCTTTTAGCCAATCCATGGAAGAGAGAGTGACGGGAGAGAGAGAGATTCAAGCATGTTTCCCTCTATATCTGTTGTTTTATTTCTCTCTCCATATACTTAATGTGTATTTGGGAGGAGAGAGAGTGAGGGAAGAGAGATAGGAAACATGAAAAGAGAGAGAGCAGGAGGAGAGAGAGTAAAAGGTTAGAGATGAAAAAGATGGAGAGAGAGAAAGGTACGGGGAGGGAGAAAGACGGAAGTTTGGAAAGATGGCATTTCGAAAATATGTCTTATTAAATTTATTTGGCCTAAAAAAATAAATTTAAAGTAATTTAGAGGGTTAGAAAAATAAAATCTACAAATTTTATACACTAATATATCTTTTAAAACCTTGGATCTATTATGAAATAAAATCTAAAAATAAAATATATGAGGATATTTTTCCCATAATATTTAATCCAACGTCTCTCTACGAGTGAGTTAGGTGAAGATGGAAAGTTAAGGTTCACAACAAAAGTTGGAAGGATGAGCTTTTCATATGAAAATGTTACGTCACCAACCATCAACTTTTATTCTTTTCAAGACCTATCCACCGTTAAAATCAAAGGATCGCCCACATAGATGATTGTTGAGGTTGAACAAGAAATTGCCATTTTATCTTACTTTCCCCCAAGATGAACCTCTCACTCTATCTCCCAACTAGGGGTGGCAATGGACCAAGGACCCGACCTGGCTTTGTGTATGGGGCAAAAATTTGGACTCGGCAGATCAGGTTCGACTCCAAATATTGGATCCGATCACAATTGGGGTCTAGGTCTGTGTGGACTTGGTTGGACCTGACCTGAATAGTTGTTATTATTTAAATATTACTAATAATAGTTAATATATAGCATTTTAGTAATATTTAAATAAATATAACTATAAATTTATAGTTATAATATTTAAATAAAACATGTGTATATCTTAGTGAGGCGCACATAATAAAAATATAAAAAAATAATTCGTAAAAAACAAATTGATCAAAATACTTTCAAAATATTTTGGGGGTATTTTGGTCTATATTTTTCATGTAAAACATTTTTTTGACATTTTTCCATGGATTCGCTTATTTTTGATGAACACACGCTCCAAATTTCAAGTGATTATGATTTGTAGAAAACAAATGAAAAATGAAATACTACTGGATAATTGTGACCGTGCAATGAATTTTGTACGGTGATGATGGTAGATGAAATTACTGTTCATTTTTTGCCTATAGGCATTTTGTAATATCTTCATCTTTTTCTCTTTCTTTCTCTCTCTCTCTCTATATATATATATATATTATTTTTGGATTAAGTTCAATCAGGTCTAGGAATGGGTATAAGTGGGTCCGAGTCCATAACTATGGATTCGGCCCCGACCCGATCATTGCCACCCCTACTCCCAACCCTAATTCTCTCTCTCTCTCACTCAAATTGCCATTTGATCTTACTCTTCACCTATGGAGTAATTCTCAAAAGAAAATGGTTTGATAGGCTTGCAATACTCTTAGAATAAGTAAATCCTCACTTCATAACTCATGGAAAATTGCAAGTCAAGCATAGAAAAACCTTTGAATCGATCATCTTGACTTGAACATTATGGTTGTTAAAAAAAAATCAGATTTCAACCTCTAAAAATAGTGTATATCTTAACAAATTTTCTAGGCCGTCAATTTTGATTTAAACCTAAGTGTTCATAGATCCACAAGATCTATACTATTTTTTGAGTTTAAAGTTTTATTGTTGATGTTGGAAATCGATTTTAGAGTGATCATAGTGATTTATGTCAGCAAATGTACTTTCCAAACCAGGATTTAATGCGAGGCCTTATAGAAACCTCATCCTTATAAAAAAATAAGTAAAACCTCAATTCATAACTCATAAAAAATTACAAGTCATGCATTGAAAAACCTTGGCATCGATTATCTCAACTCGAACATAATGGTTGTGAAAAAAAATTAGGTTTTCAAACTTTAAAAATAATATATATTATACAAATTATTAAGAAGGTCCATTTTGCTATGAATATAAGGGTTCAACTGTCCGTACGACGTTTCAAATTTTATTGTCATGTTGGAAATTAATTTTAGGGCAATCATAAATACTTTGCATAAAATACTTCATTTTATTTTCACGAATCGTAGGCCTTATGGGAACCTCATCCATTATAAAATGAGTCATCATTTCAAATCTGTCTCCGCGCTAACAGAAGTATCAAATAATCCACCGCTTTCGATCTCTCTCTGAAAGTGAGATTGCCATTTAATATTATTTGATTATCATTAATATAACAATCACATAAATAGCTTAACCTTTTTCAATCTCTCTGAACCACCAGTTTCAATCTCTCTGAACCAACACCATTTATGATGATCCTCTCTCTGTCTCTCTGTCTCTCTAAAATTGATCTGCTCTCTCTCTAAAGTCCCAAAAAGACGATGCCTGCGGCTCACCAAGAGGGGATCTGAGTAAGAGCTGCGCTTTTTTCTCTCTGTGTCGTTTGTCTCTCTACACTAAATATTACCATGAGTTAACGCCTGTAGGAGTCACGTTCCTCTGCATTTTCCTGCAAAAAGTTTCTACTTTTCACCATTCTTTCTCCTTCTCACCCCCTCTCTCTTTCCCACGAATATATATCTGTAAAAAGTCTCTCTTTCTACATAGAGAAATCCATAACAAGTTCATATTTTGATCTTCATTTACTCTCTCTGAAATTGCTATTTGTAAAATCCTGATTCAGTGTAACCATTCTTTCTTTCTTCACGCACCACTTTCCATTTCTCTTATATCTTCTCATCCTCAAAGGTCCCCATCTCTCCCTGCATTCTCATCCTCAAAAATCCCCATCTCTCCCTCCATTCTCATCCTAAAAAATCCCATTATCTTTGTTGCTCCTCTCTCTCTATGTCTCTTCCTAAAAATCTCTTTATACTTCCATTTTTCTATAGCCATTTCCTTCCATCTCTAGTGTGCTTTCCTCTATAGAGGTTCCCTGCATTTAGCCCCTTTTTTCCACATATTCTCATGGATTCCTTCTCCATAAACAAACCCAACAAGCTCACTTCTCGAAACCCCAGAACCAAAATCTTATGGTGCTCGTGCATATGTCTCTCTCTGTTGATTCTAATCGTACTATTAATTCTGATTCTTGCGTTCACTGTTTTTAGAGCTAGACACACCACCACCACTGTAAACTCCATTAGATTAGCAGGCCTCGACGTGTCCCTCGATATACCCAGACTAAGGGTCAGTTTAAATGTGAGCCTTGACCTGAACGTCTCTTTAAAGAACCCCAACAAAGCTAGCTTCAAATATGGGAACAGCACAACCATGTTATATTACAGGGGAGGCCTAGTTGGGGAGGCTTCAATTCCATCGGGTGAGATATTTGCGGGCGAGACTGAGGTGATGAATTTGACCCTAACCATTTTAGCCGATCGCCTTCTCTCTGATTCTTATATTTATTCAGACGTTGTTAATGGTTCATTGCCTTTGACCACTTACACGAGGATTTCTGGGAGAGTTACAGTCATGCGGTTATTTAAGCATCACTTGGTTTCTTATGCTTATTGTGATGTTTCAATTTCGATTAGGGACCAGAAAATCGAGAATTCAAGTTGTAGGTACAGGAATAAGCTTTGATCATTTCTGGGCTTGTTTTTTTTGGATGAAAGAACTTGGGTTGATTTGTTATTTTTATTTTTTATTATGGAGTTTTAAGAAATTAGTTTCACTTTTTGCTGATGTATATGCGTGTATCCAAGTGTAGAGGTTCCAATACTCATTGAATTTTGTAAGTAAGGTTCCCATTGCTTGCTCATGTAATGACTGGATATTGAAGATAGAATGAACAAAAATAAAACAGATTGATATTTTATTATTGTTAGCTTCATTTTACTGTATCATGGTGGTTTATTGATTTGTGACTTGAATTATGGGTTGTATTTATTTATTTATATTTTTCTTCTTTACTTTTCTCTACTTTTCTTGCATTCTCTCAATGGAGGACCGTCATCGTATCATATCAACAGCTTTATCTGATATTTTTATGCATGCACATATATGTGTATTTAGTCCATATGGTTCAACTGTGTATGCCATATGGTCCACCAAAGAGGCTTCTACCATTCAGCCATAAAAAATTTCAGATCCCATATTTCTTTTCATTCTTTGGGAATTGGGCTATAATACAAGTTTGAATTGTTAAATTCTTCGGTACTTTGGAATGTGTTAGTTGGAAAATTGTGATAACAAGGTATGGAAATTTCTGAAAATTTGAAGGATTGAACTTTGAAGTAGTCAGAGATACAGGGCATTGGTGTATCCATTCACATGAAATGAGTTACCCTTGGGCTATGGGATTTTTAAACTCTCTCTCTTTCTCTCTCTCTCTCTCTCTCTCTCTCTCTTCTTA